CGAAGCGAGCGTGATAAACCAACTACACCATGTGCCCGTAGAGAATAGGGGAACCAACACACACTACAGCCGCGGTTGGCCAAATAAACGTAAGGTCTGAGTTTGAACGCGTCGACGTCACGAGCGGGGACGTTGACATACACGTGACTCTGTGCCATCGGCGGGCCAGCCGCCCAACAAAAAACCGACTCATCGCTTCTGTCGCACAAAAGCTGCACATCTCATTCCCAGCCCATCGTCCGCCCGATCAACCGCATTTCCCCCCCGCCAACTCGACGTAACTGCGACGAAACTACCTCGATACACCTCCCATCATGAACAAGACGCAGTTTTACCTCTCCCAGTGCGCCGACGCCGCCGCCAAAAGCCCAATGTGCTTCACCCTCGGCGCCGTGCTCGTCAAGGGCGGCAAGGTCATCTCGAGCGGGTACAACCACCACCGTCCCAACTACGACGGCGCAGACGTGCGCACGCGCGGACATCGCAAGCCCGTATCGATGCACGCCGAGATGCACGCCATCTTCGCCGTGACCGGCATGTCGCCCTCCTTCCGCACCCAACAGGGCTCGCGCTCTGCCGCCGCCGCCTCTGTCGCTGCCGCCCCATCCACCTCGTCGAGCACGGCGTCCGAACCGCCCGACTCGCAGCGCCAAACAAAAGGTTCTGCAAAAACAAGGGCGTTTAAAGGGGCGGCGCCCCCCGCTACATGCGAGGGGCACCCCTGGAAACGTCTTTCAGGCGCCCTCGTCGAGATCTAATGGGAGGTCGGCGGGGAAACGTAGGGGAAGGGACGCGGGTATGGAGGAGGAGGACGGATCTTCCAGCGATGGCGGTGGGACGGAGAGCATTCGAAGCGGCGGGAGCGGGAGTGGCGGGGAGGGGACGGCAGGAAAGGGTGGGGCGCGCCACCACAAGCGGGGGTGCTCGCGATCATCATTTGACAGAGGTTGCTGCATGGCACCTCCCCCCCCCCGGGCAGACACCAAGGCTTGGGACGCGCGGCGGCGGGACCCGAGGGTGAACGGCGCAGACATCTACGTCGCCCGGGTCACCAAGGTCGGCATGGGCTCGGCCAAGCCGTGCTGGCGATGTTTGGAGTGGTGTCGCTGGGCGGGCGTGAAGCGTATCTTCCATTGGAACGGGGAGGAAGACCGCTTTGACGTCGTCAAGGTCAACAGCGTGGACCCGAGGCAGTACGAGACGCACGCCGATATCCGGCTCTTCTCTGGATTGGTGCGTGGTTTTTTCCTAGCCCTTCGGCTCGTGTTTCGTGTTTGGCTGACGAATTGCTAGGGTTGGTAGTTATTTTGAGGAGGTACTATTTGTCCGCGTTAAAGAGTCTGCGTCTCGACTCGGTTTCTTCCACGTTCGGATGTCTACCTTCGCTGCTCGCCCAACTTTCGTTTCCGCAATGCGCTTGTTCTGTTTGTGCGCACTGATATAATGCGAACGGTGATGTTACACATGTACACGACGGAGTTGACGCCAAAAGGCCGGCTGTATATCCGTATTGATACTGAGCCACCGCATTTTCAGTCATCGTGTACCGAAGTTTGCTATTGGGGAGCGGCGACAGGATGTCGACGTAGTGGTCGATAAAGGGTCTATTCGTAGCCGTATAAGTGTAGTCCAGTCGTGCTCCCACACCGCGACCCTACTCCTCTGTGTCCGTGCGATCATCGTCCCACATATCACTAAGATCCTCGGAATCTGCAAGAGCAGCGATAGTCTTCGTCTTCCTCTGGGAGACCCCCTGGAAGGTGGTGGATTTTCACGACCTCGTACAATCTCACCCGCATATGAGGCAACAACGTGCATTCGATGGGGATGACCATGACCAAGGGATCCGCGCCCTCCGACTCCCGTTTGTTCAGCCCGGAGATCACGCCGGCCCAGAAGGTGTCCTGCGCGGGCTCGCCCAGCGCGATCCACGAAAGCGTCAGTA